ATCGAACACATTCTGCACCAAAAAGATCATCAAATCGTTGTTTTGCATCATCTACATCGTAAGTTGAAAGCTATTTTAATGCACTTAATCTCTCAGCAAGACCTTTGAATTTTAGAGTTGATACTTTCTTGTTTTAAACCATTGCATTTGGTGGATTCCTCTTAAAAAAATACTTTAATGGGCATCTTTCTTGTAAATTTTGCAATAACATTATGATAATCTGCCTACATTCATTCTTAAATTCTAATTTCTCTTCTGATTAACAATGAAGAAAACTTAGCATTTCAGTGCAGTTTCTATGTCAATATGGTCTACTTCTAGTTGGTTATTTGATTTCTCTACTTTAACCTTTGGTAAACTAAATGCAAACTTTGATGTTATTGTGCTATCAGAGAATTTGAATATAATCTTAAAGAAAAATGTGACATTACTACATTCAAGCTCCATGTAATTAGTGTAAATAATTATATTATATATAAACTATTATTAAGTTGTGTCAGAAGGAATATTCTTGGGGGTATTTGCAAATGTATATATATTGAGTAAAGATGTTTATAAAGACAGTAAGAAAAAACAAATATAGATTTATTATTACACTCCATATTATTTCTGCCTTGGTAACCAGAGTTATAGTTATTTTTAGGATTTTATTTTTTAGGAAATTGATATATAATTGATAGGAATACTGATAGAACACAGCCAATTAATTTGTTACAAGCATTCTAAACATCAGGAAAACACATTTAAATAAAAGTAAAAAAAACTAATTAACTACCAGTAAAGAATATATCTGCTGCATTATATGTCTTTGCATTAAATCTATGCTTTTTACAAGTTTAATGAGAATCCGAGGCAGATACTTCCATGTTAGAGATATTAATATCTGTTCTACACCAACTATAGCTTGCTTTTTTAGAACTCGAAATACAAAATTTTACCCAAAAAGAACACTTTTTGTTGTATAGCCATTTTGTTTAAAAATAACAGTTTTAGGCATTATATTAATTATATATATATATATATTTTTAATAATTGCTAGATGCTCATAATACTGACAGTAACAGTTAACAAAAAATTTTTCTAAGTCAGAAAAAAACAAAATGAATAAATTCAGTAGAAATCTACGCAATATCAATAATATTTCTATAAAAGGTAAAAATATTATAATGAAATATTGAAGTATTTCAGAAAAAAGTTCAAGGATTTCCAGGATTTATTGCTAAAAAGGGTGTTTTTCTAGGACTTTTCGAGGACTTACCAAATTCCAGGACATTTCTAGGTTTTTAAGATATTCAAGGACCGCTGGCCACCCTGAATAATGAATTGTTTTTTGTTTTCTTTGAATTAAATTGAAATATTCAGTAAATAAAAATTATTACTCGTAATCAGAAGAAATAAACAATATTTATAAATATATTGTTTTATTGTAAACATAAGTAACAAGTATGGAATATTTTATAACAAATATGGAGTTTTGTGGCTTCTGATGCTGATTATCCGATACCAATAGTATTGAAACCTAACCACCGAAAGGAGGAAAAAACTCCTGGATATGTAGCGAAAGATCCTACTAATTCATCTTTTTTTTCTACTATCATTTCTCCTAACAATGAAAAGTAAATATAAAAGACTTGTGTACAAAGATTTCATTATAATACGTCTTGTGCTCAAATAGTTTTAAAGAGATAATTATTTTTACATTTTAAATAAAATCTTGAAATTTCTTTTAGAAACTTCAAGAATTTATTTAGAATGTAAAAATTTGTTAAAAGCAGAGCTTGTAAATTATTCTTTCTAAAAACTTTAAATATCAGTGAAAGAGGAATTTACTACAATTTTAATAACGTGGTAAATAAAGTAAATGGACTACCAAGGTCCGCAAAGAGAGGAAAAATGGTTTGTAGAAAAAGTTTTAATCAAGTCTTAAGATCTGAGAACATATAAATAGTTTTCCAACAGTTGATTTACACTACTACAGCCAGAATACTAACAAAAAATATTTAGAGTCGTCATTGAGTACAATTAAAATGTACAGGTTGTTTACACAAGCTTGTAAAAATCCAGAGTTCAATGTAAAAAAAGATGTTTATTCAAAAGATATTTATTCAACTTTTAATACAGAATTTAATTTGGCATTTCATAAACCAAAGTAAGCTATGAGTGATTTATGTCTACAGTATAAAAACAAAGAAGAGGATCAAAAAATACTGCAGCATAGAGATAGTAAGCTATTCACTAGACAAGAAAGAAAATGTGACCTGCTAAAGTTGCAAATTGAGAATTAAAAACCACAGTTAAAGTTGCAAATTGAGAATTAAAAACGCTTTATCAAAGAAAATTAAACTGCAATAATCCACTGTTCATTTAACAACAAAACTTTTTGTACACTTTGGAATGAATCTATGGTTGGTAGAGGTGCAAACGAACTTGCAAAAATGTTTTAATAAACATTGTATATATTTATTTCTTTATTGTAAAAAAAAGGTATAATAATGGAAATGGTTGTTTTTTTATATTTAAGGTTTAACTTATTTATATCATTTTTCACAGACAAATTCAAAGATATGTGTGATAAATTAGTTATTTTATTTTTTAATTATTTGAAACTAAATAATATTAATAAAAATTGCTTAATGTAAAACAAGGAAAAAATAGTAAATATTTAGTTATTTATAAATTGATTAATTGAATTTTGTATAAGAAGTTTATTAAGCTCTATATAAGAAGCTTGAAGATGAGAAACTCTGTATTTCAAAATATAATGCCAATAAATTGGTTACCAGGAATGAATTAAAGAAAAAAAATGCGAAGGACAATGAAAGTAAAATTATTCTAAAGTTATAAGTCATTGTTAGTAATATCATAAGTAAATTTAACTTTAATTCACCTACTATCAAATTAATTGCATCTATGACAATTGTATTCCCACAAAATGTTCTGATTTTGAAATACATTTGTGGTATTTGAAAAAGAGTGTTCTTAGCTATGAGGGAAGTTTTTCTCTTTTTATTTTTTCAACAATTATACAAAATATTGATTTTAGTCAACTTTGTTAATTTTCAACAGGTAATTTAATTTACACAGAGAGATTTAATTTACACAGAGAGTACTTTAAACTCTGAATGCAAATTTCTTAATTTAAACACAGTATCGTATACAACACTTGTATTCCGGGCTGAGGATATATCAAATTCTTTGCAAAACTAGCATCTGCTAAGGTTGCCTCTCTCTTTTGTGCTCACCACTTTCTTACTCCAGATTCTATTCTTTATCTCTATAAATCCCGAATCCATCCTTGTATGGAATACTGTTGCCATATCTGGAGCGGATCTTCCAATGAATTTCCTTTCTCTTTTAGAAAAGGTGTAAAAATGCATTGTAAACATAGTTGGACCTGCACTTGCAACCAACCTCCAACCATTATCACATCGTCGTAATGTTGTTACTCTTTCTCTTTTCTACAAGTAAACGACTACAGACGCCAACAAACATACTACATACTGTACTGCTCTAAAGAGCTAGCATTTCTTGTGCCATCTACTAAAATTCATTCTCGTGTTAGTCGCCATTCAATTAGGTCTCATCGTTTTTCTGTGACTGTTCCTAAGTACTTCAAAAACTCCTATTCATCTAGTTTTTTTCCTTGAACATCAGTTCTTTAGAATTTGCTTCCTGCATCCTGTTTTCCTTATACATATAATTTGCAACCTTTGCTCTATAAACTTCATATTTTTTCTTCTAGTAACTTCCAACACTAATTGTGGTTGCTTGCAGCCTTGTTGAAAGCAAAGATGTTAGGGAGAAAAAAAAAAGGTTTGATTACTGTGTAGGCATTCTTTGTATTTACAGTCTAAGTTTTCTCATTCAATATATATATAATATAATATATATATATACATATAATATATATATATATATATATATATATATATATATATATATATATATATATATATATATATATATATATATACAAATAGTATTGCGTACAAAGGTAAGCAATCTGAAGTCATACTGAAATAGCCTGTTGCTGGGGGCTTCAGTACATACATCGACTGACAAATAGCCTGACTTGTAGTGGAGTGCTGCTACATTGACTGAGGGTTTGGGATGGGGCAGCAATCGTTTCATTCATGATTCTTCGCTTTTTTTCTTCTTTTTCTAAAAAAGCCGTATAGGTTAAGGTAAGCAAAAAAAGTGAGTAAATGCTTATAAAAATACGCTTTAGTAAGTGTATATATATACATATATATATATATATATATATATATATATAAATACAAAAATACAAAAATATATATAAAAAATAAGAATATACTAATAAATCTATAATATATTTACAAAACGTTGACAAGTTAAAAAATATAAATTTAAAACATTTATTATTATAAAAAAATGATGTTAGTTTAAAACATTTATAGCTTTGTAGATGTGGCTCCAAGAATTAAAATAATAGTTCGTTTGATAGTATATTCTTAAAATGATTTATGCTAGAAATCTCAACGAAAACATTACAAAATTCAAATAATACAACTTTTTAAAATATTTCACAGGACATTCAGTTAGTATTTTTTAAACACTCTAGTAATTTCGGTTAGTATTTTTTGAACCAATAGAATTCAGTTATCGAGTGCCCGATCGTACCGGCTTTTTGACCAAGCCTATATATATATATATATATATATATATATATATATATATATATATATATATATATATATATATATATATATATATATATATATATATATATATGATAGCTGTTCAAAAAAAATTATTCAGTATTTTTATGACTAAAACTTTTTTAGTTTTTTCCACATGTGAAATATATTTCACATGTGGAAAATTGTACTTTTATAGCACAATTAACACTCCTCCTGAAGCACCTAAGCCAGTTTTGACATAAATTAAAAATGCAAACTGGATAAATCTCTCATGTTTGTCACAAAAGTCTGTTAAGTAGTTCAGCAGCCTTTGTGAAAAGCATCGGTTTAGTAGAAAACAAATAGTAGTTACTTTTAGGTTGCTTTGCTTTGTTTTTACATTATTTTTCTTTATAGTCATTAATTGGTCTTAAACTTTAGGTGGAGCAAAAGATCTTTTACTAGTCTTGCTAACTTCATCCCACTTGATTTGCAGCAAATGCAAAGGCGTTAATTTTAGATTTTCAAATAGAAGCTCTAATACAAATAAATGTTAATTAAGTATTTTGAATAGAAATACTATTATTTGTATTTTAGGTTTCAAAAAAATGCTTTGAACAATTTTAATTTTTAAATAATACACTTTTAAATACAAAAGCTTCGTTTACTCTAAACATAAAATAAACATATAAATATATTCTAAGATTTGCTACATCTAATAAATATAATTTTTTCAAAGCAATTGACTGACAGATTGCCATGCTCAGAGTAAAAAGGTTTTCCAGTTGGAAAAAGTACAACTAATGCAATCATACAAGCAATAGACGACTTGGGTTATGCTATTAATGACAACATCTTTGTTTATATGGTATGTATATGTTTATATGGTATGTTTATATGGTATGGTATATGTTTATAAGGTATGCTCTTTGATTTTGCTAAAGCATTAGACGTGTCAACCACACTATTCTCATGCACAAACCTAAGATCAACCTACCACCTTGGTTATTATAATGGATTGCAAAATGGGTTTTAAATAGTAAAAAAATGTCATATTCAACAATAAGTCTGTTGAATAGAAAGATGTATTATTAGGAGGAGATTACAAGAAAGTGTTTTTATTATTAACAACTTTTATATTATTTTTAGCATATAATTTTTATCTGAAATTTCATTACCAGGTGTTAAAAAAATATACAACTATTACAATAGATCATTAATTTAAAAGTTAAAAAAGCTGTTCTCAAGCTTTTTTATCACTTTCTTTTTTTTTTCAGTGTAACTATTACATTTTTAACAATAAACAAACTTTTTAATTAAATAAGCTATTGAGGTTTTCTCAAAAGACAAATAAAAATATAATTGTGTAAGGTTGTGTAATGTGTATAGTGCTATGCAGCAAAAACTCATAATAAATCTCAACAGTCATTTTTTTAATAACCCATGTGGTTTAACTTGCATGTTATTAACTATTTTATAAAATGACATGATATACAGTCAGTTATCTTTTTTCTTCCTGGAAAATGAAATAAACTATCAATCACATAATTAACTTTAAATGATATGCTAAACATATTAAAACATACACGGAGAAAGAAGATCATTTTCTGAAAAATCATCAACTGCACATATATGAAGAGCATACTTTCTAAAATAAAAAAAACAAACATTTATGTAAAAACTTTTTTAATACTCTTTTAAAAACACAAACTAATTTAACATTTAACCATTTTAACAAATACTTTTATTAAGTTTTTCATTTTTTCAGTGTGTAAATAAATTTACTTTAATAGGAATTTCAAAAAGAATAAACAAAATAAATTGCAGTCAGGAGGATTAAGAAAAAAGTATGAAACAATTATAAGAAAAAAATATTTAAAATTCTTTTGCTTTTCTTTATTTATATTAATATAATTTTTATTTATTTATCTTTATCAACATATTTTTTATTTATATCAACGTACTAAGATAATTCCTGATTTAATTAGAATATAACCTATAAATATAAAATTTAGAGTAAAGAATAAATATTTTGCTTAATTTTTATAAAAAAATTAGTGGGGAACAAAGACCACTTTGTACAAAAAGTGAGGTTGATTGCGCTCAACGACTTCCCCACAGTACATGTCCATGGTGACAACATGGGTTTCAAAGTGAACAGCTAGAGAAGATTTTACAATTCTACAGGAGCATTTCGACACACAATCTTCTACAATATTGTTTAAAATTTCAAACAATTCTCTCAGGGCAGTACTGTAAAATTTGTTTAGGCCCGTTCATTATTGTAAAACAGAGAAGTTTAGAGTAAAAAATAAATATTTTGCTTAACTTTTATAAAAAAAATTAGTGGGAAACAAAGACCACTTGGTACAAAAAGCAAGGTTGATTGCACTCAACGACTTCCCCACGGTACATGCCCATGGTGAAAACATGAGTTTCAAAGTGAATAGGGAGGGGGGTACAACTGTCAATTTCTGAAAAAAGTCCTCTATATCTAGAAATTTCTTTAAAAAAAAAAAAATAGAGATGCCAGTGCCCCCCTGGCCCCCGGTCTCTATAATAATATGAAGTATATAAATTATTACACAAGTTGGTTTAATGACTTATATATAAAATTGGTGAGAATAATATATATTATACTAAAATGGCCTATATTACATTTCAAATTGGTTTGAGCATGACCTTTTTTAATATTTAATTGCAAAAAAAGTCATTTTTGTCATTACTAGACAAAAGTTCATCCATTCGTGTTACAGGAAATGATTTTTGAAAAAAAAAAGAGTTAGAATGTCATCACCTTTGTATACACAGTATGTTCACCTAATCCATTTAATTATACAATGATTCAATAACAGATTATTTAAAAGAAGTTTTGGGTGATATATAAAAAGAAGTGTTGGGTACCATCAATCATGTTTTATGTTTCATTCCACCTGCAACAAATGTTTTCGGATAACAACATTATTTGTTTAACCTTTCTGCTCCAAAATACGTCTTTTGGCGTTCTTGCTAGTTCCGAAGTACACCTTTTGGTGTTTTTCAACATATCTGTACATTTAACTCTAAAACTCAAAAGCTAAAGTTTGCATTGCATTTCTAACTTTCGATTTCAAATCACTGGTCCATGGCAGTCCGGAAAAACAACAACTTCACATGGTTTTATTATAAACTTTGCTTTAATTTTTACTTTGAAAACCAGTTACATTTTGACTTCCTGAGGTTGCCGATTGACACAATCCCAAGTTAAAAACATAATTGATGAGCTCAAAAATAGTAAGAATAATGAATGTATTTTCATGCTCTTAGTGTCAATATATTTTCAGGTACTTTTTTGGTTTCTTCAATATTTCTCATAGTTTTTCCAAAACAAGGACAACAAATTTATTACCTACATATATGTTTTCGCCAGTTGTTTTTTTTTCAAAAAGTGTCACTTTATTGAAAAAAGTGCTATGTAAAATAGTTCTTAAAAAATAGAAGTTTTTTAGACCCACATGGTATAAAATTTATGACAGGTATGGTGTTAATCTAAATAAGTTATGTAAATATACTAATTTTACTTTCAAGAAAACTTTACTTTAAGGTTCAGATATTATGATAACATAACAAAATTTTATTTTTGATATACCTACAACTTTAGCTAAAAATACTGCGCGCTGAGTGGTCAAACCTTAAAAATTGAGCGGAGTGAAAGGGTTAATAACTTAAATGTTTTAAATTAGAAATTAACTGATAATAAAAAAAAAGTAAAATAATAAAATAAATTTTAAAATATGTCATTACAGTTTTTATTTTTTTAATAACGATAAGTGATTTAAAGAAGTTTTAAAATGTTTTTAAACTGCTGCGTCATTAATTTTATACAAAGAGAGTTGGGAGCATATTATTGTTATATTTAATTTATAAGAAAATATTGAATAAGATTTAAATAAGTTATAAAAGTAGTTGTGATTTCCTTTATTTAAAACATTTGATCATTGCTAAATTCCTTTAGACTGTTTTGCAATTGTTTCATTTTTAATATTACATTGCCCTGCATGCTTTATTCCTCCAGTTTATCTAATGATTTAATTAAAGTTTAGTTAAAATATGAAAATATTAAGTCATAATTAAATGTGATAATAATAATAATAATAATAATAATAATAATAATAACTACAATAATAATAACAACAATAATAATAATAAAAATAAAAACAACAATAATAATAATAGTAATAATAATATGGTTTCATAATGAGATTTTATATCATAATTTAAAGATCAATATAAACATCTTTTATTAAATTCAATTCTATCAAGTATTGTGATTAAAAACGCTTCTTAAAAAACTAAAAATTTAAAGACCAGAAGCATTACTAAATATCGAAATTTGCAATCACTAAAATCAAGCCTTGATCTATGATTGAAGTTCTCTAATTATTAAAAATATGAATAAAGTACCTAAAAATATTATTGAAATAACAACCATCAAATTGTTTCAATCTATTCTTTACAAACACTTGTGGTAATTGAAGTAACTTTTCATCACTTAAATCTTACATTTAGTAAAAATCACCATACCTACTTGCTTTTTGTAAACCTAGTTCAAATCTAGGTATTTTATCTTTGGATCTTATTGTTGAGAGCTATTATCATCTGATGTGCTAAAACTCCTTCAAGACTTTTTTTTTGATGTTCTCTGGAAAACAAACATCTTTTTATTATTGCAATAAATCAATGTATTTTAAAAACATTGACTTTACACAAATGCAAAAATGCATTTTCTGAGACTAAGGTCCATTTTTCTTAAATTTCTAAATCTAATGTTTTATCACAGAAATTAGGCTCTACAGACTTTAGAAAAATCATTAACATCGTCATTAACTTAGACATCTTTCCGCCTCTTATAAAGAGATTTATTAACTTATTAGATATTCTTAATACATTAGAAATGCAAAAGATAGTTTTGCCAGCTATAAACAAAACATTAGAATATAATGGTAATACAATATAATGGTAACAGCCAAATTACGAACAGTCACCATAAGTACCATCTATTGAACATTAAGCAAATATGAACTGATTAAAGATATTTTAGATACTAAAAGAATCCATGCTGATTGACATAAAACCTGATTTAAAAAGAGTTGTTGAAAAATAGGCCCAGGTAAAATAACAAAAAGTTGATGTTTACTAATCGATGCTTACTAATTGATGCTTATTAAAATATTTCTTCAATTAACAGACCTCAAAACTAACACTTTCAGTATGATTAACAAACATTATTATAAATAAATCATTCCTATATTACAAATAAATTAATAAACTATTTGTTATTGCCTAACTTGATTTTTATTTGTAACTATTCTAATGAAATATGTTATATATATAACATAATATATATACATATATATTATATATATATATATATACATATATATAAATACATATATATATATATAAATACATATATATATATATATATACATATATATATATATATATATATATATATATATATATATATATATATATATATATATATATATATATATATATATATATATATATATATATATATATATATATATATATATATATATATTATATATATATATATACATATATATAAATACATATATATATATGTATATACATATATATATATATATATATATATATATATATATATATATATACATGTATATATATATATATATATATATATACATGTATATATATATATATATATATATATATATATATATATATATATATATATATATGTATGCTTAATTACAGACTGCTTATAACCTACCCTATTGTACAGAACTTTAATATACCAGACATTAAATCAAGCATATATATTCAAAAAATAACCTCTGCTTGAAAACTTGTAATATTTATAATACTTACAGCATTTTCATAAGTAATAAGTTTCCTGCAGCGCTATCAATGCAACAATCTTGTAGAGTTATAGTTTCAAGAACACTCAATGGCAGCTGAAGTTAAATAGTATTAACAAGCTAAACATTTAGATTTTAAACATTTAAATTTATAAGCTTATTTTACATCATTTGGAAAAATAATGCAAAATAAATTAAAATTATGCAAAACAATTTTTAAAAATAACAGAAAAAAAAAACTACGATATATTATGAGATGTATTTTAATAAAATTTCAAATCAAGTTTTAAATAAAGTGTAAATTTAAAAAAAAAAACATTTCTTAGCATCAAACAATATGAATCAGCATATTTATTAAAGAGATTTCAAACAAATTTAAAACAGTATTAAGATGTTAGATTGGGTTCCTCAGTCACCAGATCTAAATCCAATTGAAATTTTATGGAATTTTTTAATAATTAAATTAGCTGAACAAAAACCATCTAGTTTGTCATAATTAAAGACAATTCCAATTGAGGAGTTGAGAAAATTAGACCCTCAATGGCTTAAAAACTAAGTAGAATCAATGCATAAAAGATGTCTTGCAGTCATGAAGGAAAAAGGCACACAAATTGACTAATAACTTTATGTTAATAAATAATTATGTAAAGGGTGACTTTTTTTGATTTAGTGGATAATTTTTGTTTTAAGTATAAAAATATAAATTTCTTGTTATAAAAATGTTATTTGATATAAATTTAACATAATTTAAATTTAAGCATACAAAAATTTATACTATGTATATATCTTTGCCAAGCAATGATTTAACTTGGTCTTGTAAAATCTTGCTAGTTTGTTTTTGTGAGTTAAAGGTGAGTTTTGTGAGTTAAAGGTGAGTTTTGTGAGTTAAATATATTGTAATTCTGCACCATTTATTAAGGGGAATAGCACATAACAGCGCGTTATTTGAAACATCAACATTGGAAAGATTTATGTTGTTTATGTTTAATATTGATGTAAACATTGTTATGAGAACTTTTTGGTATTTTTGTTTACTTTTTTTAGTCAAAATAAACTTTAAAACTTAAAATAAAATGTCTATACTTTCATTAGCAATTAACTTCCTACTTAATTTCCTCAATAAAAATATTTCGAGAAAATGTAGCTTTGAAGTCAACCAAAATTATGTTAACTTTGATACCATTAAAACATCAAGAACTCACTACTTGAAAAAAATGTCAATGTGAAGACTCTGATCTTAAATTCTAAAAAGATTTTTGAAAGGATCAAAGTAAATAATATTAGTAATCAAAGTATGCAAATGATATTGAATTGATTTAATTAAGTTTCTATGTAATAATATGCTTTTATTAAACTTTATTTATTTTTGAAAATGAATTTGCCTAAGTATAAGTATAAGTTAAGATCCTAAGTATAAGTAATAAGTAATAAGTTAAGTATATAATAAGTTAAGTAATAAGTTAAGTAATAAGTTAAGTATAAGTATGAGTATAAGTTAAGATCGTTAAGACCATCTTTTTTTGTAAATGGCAATCTGCATTTTAATAAACATATTTCAAGTTTAAAAAATCTTTAAATTATTCAGCAGTATTTATAGTGGTCTAGTTAAAGACTTTTTTTGAAAAATGCAAACTACATAGCTGATTTTTTAATGGAAAACTTTTCCCACAGTTACCATCTGGTGTAAAGAAAAAATTCATGTGGCCATGTTGGCCTCAAAAGTTATGACTATTCGAAGTTCGTATTTTTTTACAATTTTCATACTTTTAGAAAATGGTTTCTAGACAATGAACAATTTTTAATTTTTAATTTTTCTGATAAACCTTGTGGTTGGCATAAACAGGTTTACAAATTGTATTGTAACAGTTAATACACAATAACACAGTTGAAACAGTTAATACGCCAGATAATGCTCTTTATAAATAAAAATAAGCAATTTGAACACAACAAAACAACGTAAAAGTTAGAACAAAATATTATGTTTGTCATTGTATCTATTATACAAAGCTAATGTATAATATGTAAAAATGAAGGATAACAGATGACATTCAGTATTTGCAAATGTATGGTTCTTGGCAGACAATGGCTCTTAAAAGAATCCAAAATTTTTTACAAAAACAAACAAATAACATTTTATATATGATTTATTTTCCAATGTCTAAAAATATTATGTTTTCTTATATTGTGCTGTTTATAATATGCAAGAAAAGTTGTTGAGTGATTTACTATTTATTTAAAAATACTTGAATAAAATCAAATTAAAAACTTTATTTTTAGCTTCTATAAAAACATTATGCACTATGAGTTCAAATTTTTACTTCAGCTTTATATAAATTTAAAGTTAAAACTTAAATAAAAGTTAATAAAAACAAACAAATAAAATAAATACTACAAGGAACAAAAAAAAAATCAAAAGTTATAATGATAAACTAGAATCTGAGGCAAAAAAAATTCCATTTTAAAACAACATATTTTTTTTTCTAATTAATAATATAAATAAGATATTAAAAAAAATAATAACACTTCATCTTTTTAAAGAATATATTTTAAAAATAGGCACATGATTTAATCTTAATTATATCCCAAAATCTATCAGCTCAGAATACAAATCAATATTCAACATAGCTGACCAGAAAGCTACTCAGAAAACATTTAAGTTCAGCTTCCATATTAGAAAAAGTTGATCATAGTTATAACATTTTTTTAATGGCACTGTATCGTAATTTATTAGTGTTGTTAATGGTGTTATATTAAAATAACAAAATGGTTATTATATACACTTGGTAAAACAAATAATCAGTGAGATTGTGATTTTTATTTTGAATCATTATGGACATTTTTGTTTGAACAACTTGTTTGGAATAACTTCAACGGCTTGGTTGATGCAATCCATAAACATCATAACAGAAGGGAAAAAAATATGTCTGAAGGGTGTTCCTCCAGTGCTAGCGGATTAAGCAACAAAAACAACTATATAGCAGTTTCCTTTTAACGAAGGAGGAAAAGGTCCCAAACAATTGGCTGTAATAACATCCTATGGTCCTTCGACAGGAATTGGTAGTTGGGGTGCTTTGCTAGTAGTCGGATGTTGTTTTTGTTGAGCACAAGTGGTACACAATTTTACCCAGGTTTGTATCTTGTTGTACATACCAACCCAATAGTAATTAATTATAATCTTTTCATATGTTTTTGTCACTTCAAAGTGACCTCCACATGGTTCATCGTGAGTCCAGGTTATTAATTCAGTTCTTAGAGACTGCGGTACAACCAACTGTGTGAGATTTCTTGAGGCTTTTGATTCATGATGGAATAGTAGATCATTTTCATTTAAGTGGTAGTTACCTTCTGACGCTAAGACTTTCTTTGCTTTTTTTAATTCTTCGGGTAGTTCTTACTTGGTTAAATATAATATTAGGTTGGCATAATAGCGATCGTTACTTTGTTCCTTTATAACTTGGTCAGTTGGTCTACCTGGTACTGTTAGTGTTGCAACTCTATCTGGAAAGTCTGTCAGCATTACCATGCATTTTCCCCGAGCAGTACTCTATTTCAAAATTGTAATCTTGCAACATTAAACTCCTTCTTGCAAGTCCACAAGTTGGGTCTTTAATAGACGTTACCCATTTCAGTGAATTGTGATCTGTTACAATTTTAAAAATTTTCCCATAGACATATGGTCTACATTTTTGTACTGCGATAACAACAGCTAAGGCTTCGCATTCAGTTGTGAAATATTTACTTTATGTACTTGTGAAATTTCGCCCACCGTAGAGAATGACTCATTTAAGGTCTCCTTGATATTGCGATAAGACATATCCTAACACTACGCTACTTGCATCAGAATATATGATGAAAGGTTTCTCTAAGCCTGCATAAGCTAAAATGGGTGTTGTAACAAGGGATTGTTTGAGTTGTTCAAAACTATTTTGTTGTTTGTTATGCCATTCGAAACCGGCATCCTTTTTTAACAGGTTATTTAATGGTAAAGTAATGTTTGAAAATCCTTTAATAAATCTTCTATAGTAACTATACAAATCAATGAATGCTCTAACATCTTTTATATTTTTAGATACCGGATAATTCTTTGCTGCTTTAACATTTTCTGGGTACGGTTTAATACCATCTGCATTAATATAATGTCCTAAAAATTTTACGTCAGTTGTGCAAAAGGTGCATTTTAGTATGTTTAATTGTGACCCAGCTTGTCTTACAGCTTCAATTATCATATGTATATGCTTGAGGTGCTCTTATACATTTTTGAGTATATCAAGATATCATCTAAATAGAGCATGCAATGTTTGTATAAATGGTCACGAAGTATGTAATTCATCATTCGTTGAAACGTTGAAGGTGCATCAGACAGACCAAAAGGAAGAACTTTAAACTGATATAATCCTTTGTGCGATATGAACGTTGTTTTCTCTTTAGATTTGTTGTTGAGCTGCACCTGATAATATCTGCTTAAAAAGATCCAATGAATAAAAATATTTTGCCCTATGTAACATGTTGAGACTTTCATCTATTTGGGGGAGTGGATAGGTATCTTTCTTTGTAACGTTATTGAGCTTTCGATAGTCAATACATGAAATTTCCAACTTTCTTCAGTACCATGACTACCAGACTGGACCAGGGGCTGACACTTAGTTCAATGAGATCATTCGCTAGCATCTCCTCAATATGCTTGTCCAGTGATTTCCTTTGAGATTCAGCAAGACGTTAAGCTCTTTGTCTAATTGGCTGAGCATTTCCAGTATCAATACAGTGTTGTATTACATTGGTCTGCCCAATTTCATGCAAACCTTAACCAAAAACATCTTGATTATTTTTTAGCAAGGTCAATAGCTGGAATTGTTTTCAGGACCCAACGCGGCGGTGTTAGTCTTTGCTTCCAACAAATCTATCAATCCATTAGGCAACCCAGCGTCGTAATCCTCAGAGGTTTTGGTGGGCAACAGAATAATAATCCTAATTGCTTGATTTTTACCAATAGTTACATAATTCATTGACAGGTCAACGACATGCAGCTTGACTTGGTTAGATCCACCATGAGTTATGGTGGGCAAAACATGGACATTTTGGTACTCGAACAGATTTCT